TAAAAGCCTTAAAACAAGAAAAGAGGTACTAAGATTGGAGCTGTGCAATATGCAGATCCCACAGTGTGTAATTTTCCCTCTTTTCCCATTTGGAACAACCCTCCAGATCGAAGAATTTGCAGCGGAGCCGTTGCTGGACCAATGGCATTTCACCCTCGTGTTGAACTTTCCCACTTCACACAACACCTAAGAAACCGCATGGAGAACATACCTCTGAGAGAGCAGAGAGGAACCTTTCCGCAGTCACCACCTTTCTATCGGTCAGCTGAAATGAAGGTTTTTTTTAAGTAAAGCAACCAGGAGAAAGGCAACCAGGGGATCATCCATGAGCTACAGTCCCAGCAACCCAGCACGGACACGAGCACATAGCTTTTTGAGGGCTAGCTGGCTATGCAAGACTAAATACACATACTTAGGGCATGCCAATATATACCTAAAAAGAGAGACTGGCATTGAATCTCCACTGGAAACTCAATGACCCCATAATATCTGCCCTAGGAAAAGGGCACCCTGAGCCATAATTTCTCCTCTTCTCTCTGGTTCCCCAGAACCACGCTTGTTCCTAAGGTTGGGGGGGGTCCACGCTGGGGATGAAGCAAGGCAATGTGGCACGGCCAGGGCCAGCACGGTGGGCTTGGGGCGCCCGAGCAAACTCTGAGCAGGAAGAGGAGCCGTATGTTTGCTCTCGAGCTTGAAGCCGAGAGCCTGCGTGCGTGCGCACGAGAGAGAGTCTCTCAATTTTAATTGCAGCCTCGTTGCCAAGTACAACAAAGTCCACGTACAAAGAATAGAAGTCATTTTGTCTTAAGGTTTGAATTGTTTCTTTCCTAAGGGGAGGGGAGGGAGGTGAAATCCGTTCCTTTATAAGCAATGACTCAGGTGCTACGATCTACCCTGGGCGCACATCTTGCAAGCCTGAGTAATGTTTTGTGCCGTGTTTTGTTTGATGGCATGGGCCCTAATAATGGGATTATTGTTCGGTTGCGTGCAAAGCCCTCGCTTGGGGTTTTTCTGTCCCCGCCCAGCCCTGCAAACCGCAGCCGCCTTTGCCTTCCCCAGCACCCCGGCGCGGGCCGGCGAGCACCCAGCACCCGTGGAGGGCCCACCC